ACCCTAAACCCTAAACCTTTGCTGCAGGTGGAAGTTGCGGCTCTCAGCCGCTTAGGCGAGTTCCACGTGGACGACGGCAGCGGTCCCTGGCTTCGTACCTCAGCTGCACCCTAATCCCAAGACTCTCTGGGGGTTAATGTAGACCCATGATTAATAGACCCCCCTCCTTTCAAGGGCCTTAATTGTGGGGCTTCAGCTTAGGGATGTCAGTAGCAATTAGTAGTCGACATACTCAGCAGTTTCACAGGTCGTCCAGGATCAGCTTTCGACAGCTGACAAGTATCACGCTTACATCATTACAGACTAGCTGATCCCTAACATCCTCCGCCCGCAACCAATGCCCAAGGCACTTTTCGGAAAAAAAAAAAAAAAAGAGAGTGTGCAGATGATCATTTGTCGGGGTTAGTCACGACCCTAGATTGTAAACCGTAAACGGTAGCCAGCCAAAGGCGATCGGATTCTGATCACAGCCTCGGAGACTGAAGATTTGGCCATGACGGCAGAGGCCAGTTCGGGGAGAAGGGGGTGCAGGGCTCAATGGTCGACAGGTTGCCGCAGAAATGGTAAAGAGTCTAGCACGGGCAGATTTTCAAAAGTGGGGGTAGGGGCTCGAGCTAAGGATAGTAGAATGCAGCATGTTTAGACAAGACTTGTAGCTCGACTGGTAGTATTCCATGGTCTGCTCCGTTATTGGAGCAATGTGGGAAAGCGTCAAGGTCACAAGGGCGTGAAGGGTTACAGAGGCAGCCTGTGTACCGCAGATGCTTGACCCGATTTGCTGGATCTTTTCGTCCTCACGAATCTGGATCCATCATGTAGGGATGATCCTTTGTAGAAATCTGCATGTGAACAAGCCTACTTAAGAATGCTCCTTTTCTAGGTTTAGGGTTCAGGGTTCCGGGTCTCACTAAGTTTCCTATTGAAGTCCCTGATTGTGCTTCTCTACAGCATTCTTGAAGCCATTTCAAACGTTGAGGGTCGGCGTAAGCTCCAAAAGAAGATGTTTTATCTGGGCACAGGTACACGGCCCTCCTGACAGAACTTTCACCAGTATCAGACCCAGAGAACTGCAAACCTAGCCGCTAAACCCAACCCTCAACCCTTAACCCTTAACCCTAAACCCCTTAACCCTAAACCCCTAGACTTCTCGCCGTGGGTCCTCTTTGAGGCTGTTGAGGGTGGCATCCAGCACTTGCTTTCTGGCACTGGGCTCACCCCAGACTCGAGGCAGGATGAAGGGTTTAGGATTTGTAGGGTTTAAGATTTAGGGTTATTATGGGTTTGGGGGTGTGAGGGTCGAGGTATGTCGAGGTATTTGGGGAGTTGGAGTTTGGGGGTTTGGGGCTCTAGGGGTTCAGGGAACTAGGGGTAAGGTTTTATGATCTTAGGGTGTAGGCTCTTCAAGTTGCGCTTCAGGAATCCGGTTCAGGGCTTGTCCCAATGAGAATCTCAAGGTTTTGGGTGTTGTCCTCGGTTTAGGGTTGAAGGTTGAGGGCTGTGGCTTCGATCGGAAATGCGTGAAGGCTTGCATGGAGCACGCCCTGGACATTGACCCTTCCAACCATAACCTTGACTCCAGTCAAAGTTGTTCCCCTGTAGGGGACAGGGCCTCTAACCCTTGGGGCACTGGGGTGAGCTTCACACCTCACATGTTCACTAGCGTGCTGCAATGTGCCTATGCTCCCGCAATCCGTGGGAACCCAAAAAGGACCCTACAGCTGTCTCTAGAAAAAGATCCCACATGATCAGCTTCCATGCTTGTTTGGGGAGGGAACTGATTTCCTGATGACCCTTGCTGACGCAGGGTGGAGCCGCCGCCAGCCGATGAGTGGGATCTAGCGCGATCCGGTCTCCTCCACCGGGATGTGGGAGCCAGTAAGCTCTGAAAATGGTGTGCCGTCGGGGTGTAGTGCTTCGCTGCCCTTCAAGTTTGTTGAGTTTTTTTCGGGGGAGAGCTTCGAGCAGGGTTTTGCATTTGCGTCACTTGTACTGTTCTGACTTCTGTCCAAAGCTGTGGGTAAAGCTTCGCGGCGAGCAATGATGCTTTCAGAGCTCCCCAGGTGTTGTTTTGGTACAGAAAAATGAAAATCATATACGGGTGTACCCTGAAACCCCTAAACCTGAATCGTGTAAAACGCCTCCTGGAGGGGCGTCAGGCATTCCGTGTGCATCCTGAGTGTTTTGAATACAAATTTGAACCCTATATCTGTAAACCCGAAGGCCCTAAAACCCTACAACCGTACACTCAGCGGGCGTCCCTACAACCCTAAACATGAAATTCCTACACGAACACAAATACTAATATCCTCAATCCCTACAACCTAACCTAAACCCTTAAGCCTAAACCCTAAACCCTGAACCCTAAACTCTTAACCCTAAACCCTTAACCCTAAACCCTAAACCCTAAACCGACCAAAGGGTTGCCACCATCCTATGAGCTTCTTGGTGCTTGCGCAGACGACGTGCCGCCACCTCCAGAACCTTTCGAATCCAGCGCAGAGACCTCAGGGGCTGTTTGGGATGTTTATAGGGGTTCTATGGGGTTTAGGGTTTAGGGTTCTGGGTTTAGGGTATAGGGTATAGGATTTAGGGTTCTATGGGGTTCAGGGTATAGGGTTTAGGGTTCTATGGGGTTTTCCCAAAATTGGGGGTGACATTTTGGGGTGCCTTATTTACAAGGGCTATAGTATTTTGGGGTCCCTGTATTTTGGGAAACTACCGTGTGTTGGTAGCGGTGAAACAGTATGAGCTAGTGTCAATCTTTGGCTATATAGGGCTTAGGGGGTTGGACCCATATCCATTAAAGTAACGACTGTAGCTCATATAGAGATAAAAGAAGGCGTGTAGGGGATATGAGGGTTTCTTGCCAAAGGGACTACAGTTGTTTTATGAGGGTTGGGTTGTGTATCTAGGGTATACTAAGGTCCCCCCCCCTTTCTGGCAACTCCAGTCTGACTCTTTCTCAAAGATAGCAACAAATTTCAATCCCCCCCAAGCCTTACTTTAGACCCAGGAGATCTTCCGCTTTAGGATTTCGTATAAGGATCTAAAATAGCATGGGTTCCTAGAACAGAAGGTCGTCGGATCTAGGGTAAACCCTGAAGACGCCTCGAAACTTCAATGATGAACCCCCACATATCCCTATACCCCAAAATCTAAGCCCAATATCATCCCAAGCCTTATTGGGGGAGTGGGGGTGAGCCTTTTTTGAGAGAGCCCCTTTTGGCTTCACTTCTAAGTCCTGGTAGTATACTGGATCTAAGTGCCATCTTGTGGTGCCTGAAGCGTCCGGCAGGCATATTCATAGCCATCTTTCGTGTCAGAGGTGAGCGATTCCATGTGGTCTTAGGGCAAACCCCGGCTGGAGTAGCTTGGCTGCTGGGACGTCTGTCTCATTGTAGCAATAGAAATGATAGTAACAGCTATGGGTCTAGTGATAGCAATACAGCTACTGCAATGTCCACTAAGAAAATGAACTTGGTTTTGAGTGTTCTTGGGATTGCATCGCGTTCCCCTCGAAGTGGCGAGTTGTAGTGAGTTGGGCAAGTGGGGAATATTTTACACGTCTGCCCCAACAGCACCCGCGCGTCACGCAAAGCCACGCAAAGATTGAGCCCTCCAACCTACAGTGCTCGCTGGGCAACGTACCTGTGCTGGAAGTCGGCTAGCTGAAATTCGCAAGATGCCCCAAACCCTAAATCCTAAACCCTCAACCCTAAACTCTAAGCCCGACCATGACCCTGTTTGAAGCGTGCTTTAGGTCCAGATCCGTGGGGCGGGGTCCTCAGCAACTTCCACGGGTTTAGGGTATAGGGTTTTTTGTTTAGGGTTTAGAGTTTAGAGTCTAGGGCTTCGGGAGAATTACCAATATTATGGTTCCATATGCCTTGTATAATTATAGGGTTTAGGGTTTAGGGATAATTGCCAATATTATGGTTCCAATCCCTTGTATATTCATAGTATATGGTACCTCAACATGGATCTCAAATTTATATTGGATGTTTTTGGCCTCTGTAGTAGCATGGATGTCGTGGCCCCGGGAGCTTCTGAAGATATTGAAGGTTCTATCGGGATTATATTGGGATAATGGAAAAGAAAATGGAAACTACTATGTGGGTTTAGTGTTTAAGGTAATATTGGGGCTGTATTGGGGTAATGTTGGGGTTACATTGGGGTTTTGTTGGGGTAATTTTTGGGATATATTGGGCTTATTATGTTGGGGTTATATAAGGGAGCACTATGGGGAGTTATTAAGGGTACTAGGAGTTTAGATTATGGTTCATGTTAGCCTTTAGCGAATTAGGGTGGTATCTTGGTTGGAGGCTTGCACCTTCCACTCTACTGTTGAGAGGCGAGGTGTGATGAGCAGGCCCCCTGACTACAAGATAGCTAAGCAGGCGGAATTGCAGGTCCAGAGTCAGAGTTGTGGGGTTTCCTTGGGAAAATATTGCTCCTTATATTAGATAACGAACCCCTTTCTGCTTGAGGCTTTTTCTGTAGTTGCAACTTGGGAAGGTCTTCACGGAAATCTACAAGAACCGCTGAACACTTACCAGATGTTTGGGGATATTTGGGGAGAACAAGCCGTATGGACCCCATATCACTGACAACTGCAGAGGCATACTTGGCTGGGATGTTTTGTTCTACCCCCGTACGATTCTACTTGTAATTAGATTGTTCGTGTGCTTGTAAGTACAGGGAGGATCCCTAAACCAAATGCCCAAAATGTTGTCGTCAGCAAGCCAAAACGTGATCAGATCTATCGGCGACTGACACCGAAACCATCAAGCCATGTTTGCACCGTGCCCTCATTTACGGGGTTCCTAAAATTCAAAGGTGCAATTTTGGGTCCCCATAATAAGGATTATAGTATTTGAGGGTCTATTTGGGGGCACCCTAGTTTAGGAAACTACCATTTAGGAGGACCCCCGCCCTGTAATAGTGGTATAACAGGATGTAGGGTTTAGGGTTAGGGTGGTATGACAGGGTGGGAATCCTCGTTATCATGTAGAAACAGGCATTACCAACATTACCCGTCACAAACCCTCATGCAAGTATGCAATGGAATGTGAGTAATGTGCCTAAAGTTCTGAAGCCCTATTCCAATTGTTTCGTTCGGCCCTACCTTACCCTAGCCCTACCTTACCTTACACCCGGGCAGGCTGCTTCAGATGGTACAGAGCCAAGCTTTGCAGATACATGTTGGGCGTCCCTCGTGGTTTGACAGGCTGTTGACAAGGGTAGCAAATTTAGGTGTTTCAACGGGTTTCCGATTGGCATGATGTTTTCTGTGCTCATGAGTTCCTACCCGATAGAGCTCTTCAGTGAGCTTCGTTCTGGCCGTAGCATTGTTGCGTTGTTCAGTTTAACCAATTGGCCAATAGCAAGAGACCTCATTGATCCGCAACAAACGCCCTAGGGGCCTAAGGCGGCAATTCTTCTACGGAGCTGCGAGCAAAGAAGAGTGGGCTGGTACTGAGCATTTCCAGACGACATTGGCAGCAACAAGAGACCAGGTTATTAGTGCACATACTTTTGGCTAGTGCATGTACAAGAAGATCAGAATTTTGCTTGGTTCAACCATCACCAAACACCCCCTCAGACCCTAAGCCATAAACCCTGAATCTGGGCGGATACCAAAACATGGAGGTCGTCGGCAGAGGCGACGAATGCTAGAGAAGCTTGCCTCCAGCGTCCTCACAATCCAGGACAACAGGCGAGGCTTGAATTAAGGATCAGAGTGAAGGCTTAAACCCTGAACCCATTTGGGGGTTTCCCAAAAATTAGAGGTCCCTTTTTTCATGGTCCCCATAATAGAGACTATAGTATATTGGAGTCTATATTGGGTTCCCCCTATTTAGAGAAAATACCATTTTGTTTCATGGGGTGGAGATGGCTTCCTTGCTACCAGGCGTCCTACTTGTGAGGAACAACTTCAAACATGATAGCATGTGGGTCCCTGGAAGATTCGTTGGAGTTTGGGATCTGTTTGGGTTAGTTTAGGCTTTAGGGGTGAGGGTTCGGGCCTTGTCTTTCTGTGCCTTGCTTTTTTTTTAGATTGGCTAAGAAGGCAGCCCATTGCAGCGCATTTCAAAGACACCTCCAGCATTCCATGAGGTTCTCGATGATTGGAAGATATGTCGCAGTTGAAGATATTTTCAAGCAATACCGAGACGTATTCCGAGCGTTCCATCACTGTTACCACAACTGTCCTTTGGTCCTCCTCGTTTCCCTCCTCCATTGTACTGGTACTGTTAGCATTGCTATTTCTAGTACGGTTCCTTTGAATACTCGTACTTGCACGAGCGACGCACTAGATTTAAAGCTGTTTGCTGCAATGCCAGCCTCCACACGAGCCATAATCTAAACTCCTTAAAGGGGGTATATAAGGGATTATACAGGGGACTACTAAGGAGGATCCTAGGAGTTTAGACAATGGCCCAGACAGGCAGATGAAGTCGCGGCCGAACCAGGTGAAGCATCGCAGCGAGGCATCGCATTGAGCACTCATGGTGATCGCTGCTTGAGCAGTATGTCAAGAATGAATCCTACAGTCCCAGAAGCAAGATTGTGTATTTGTTTTGGGTTTTCATTGGTACCTGTTAAAAGAAGATGATAAGCTTATTGGGTTCAACCACCTCCACTGACAGGAAGAGCGCTCGGCTACCTCAGGATTCTTTTGTGGCGGGAGCCACCAGCAGGTCCTAAGCTTTAAGTTTACAGCCTTTGAACAACAGATGTCACTCCATCGCTGAGCTTGAGCTCCTCCGTACAACATGACTGATGGCCGGCCATCGTTTCTGTTCTCAATATCCCAAATCTCAACAAGTAACGTTAAACTTCATCTCTTTCCCAAATACAAAGCGGTGACTTTTGTAACAACCCTCCAAAATATAGAGGGTGAATATGAGGATACAAAGGGCTATAGTTTATAGAGTACCTATATATGGTAGGGGACTCCTATATAGACCCTAATATACTACTATCCTTATTAGGGGGACGCCCAATTTGGTTCCAATAATTTTCGGAAACCCTAAACCCTAAACCGTGTAAGGGAGTCCAAGCGCTAGACCCTTTGCCCATCTTTGCCCTCCACCCTCGACCCTGCACCCTAAACCGCGTAGTTTCTTGAGCCAGGCCTGTTTGGACTGCAATCCACAGCATGACCTCTACAAGGCCATGCTATGATCAAAGTAGGTTTAGGGGGTTAGGGGTTTTAGGGGTTTAGCGTTTAGGGTTTTTGGGGGTTAAGGGTTAGGGTTTTAGGGGTTTAGGGTTTAGGGAGGTTCTCAAAATTATTGTTTGTTTACCCTATGTATTGAAATCTATGACATTGACAATACACTCACAAGCCAAAGAAGACCATCATTTTGAGAAACTACGAGGTGGAGGGGCCACGGGATGGGTCTCCGTGATCCAGAGCCTACATGAGCTACAGGCTAAACACATTCAAGGGGGTTAAGGGGAGTATTATCGGGGTTATTTAATAGGGGGATACTAGGAGCTTAGACTATAGCTCACATGTCAGCATTTGGGCCCGGTTGAGTCTCTGCAAAGGCTTCAGGGTTTTGAGTCCTGTAGCAAAAGTTAGGCTGCCATTCAACACAATCAAGATTTATGAGAGGCAAATTCCTGCCACGTGCTAGAAGAGCCCTAAGCACTAAAACCCCACACCGCGTACTCAATAATCCCCTTCCGTAAGGTTCAACACCCCCACCCTCCCTAACATTAAACATTCCCAATATGTTATAGGATATCGCGGTGGGGTTAATATTTGTGGGACGCGATTAGGGCCCCCTAAAGCCGCATACATAATCATTGGCAGCCCCCTGCAAGTCGCTTACGTGTACAATTGTCAGGAAGGTATGCAGTGAATTGGCTGTTGAAGTTATATAGTAGTTGGGCCATTGTTGTGGATGCTGCAACATAATCTCCCCAGGTCTTGCAATAGTTTCGATTGGCATGACGCAATGCATTCGAGAGCTCTTGTCTCTTTAGCTAAGGTGGGCGTCCTCGCGTCGCAGTGGAACAAAGACGTGTCTGGCGCCAAGTCACCATATGTTCTATAGTCTGAACTCCTAGTATCTCCCTTAATAACCAGTATAGTACCTATATAATCCGCTATAAAACTCCCTGTAAGGAGTTAAGACTACAGCTCATATGTTCATGTGGCACTCCACGGTCAGGTTGGGCTTAGGGAGCTCGCCTACGATTATGCTTATGGCCCTGGTGTTGCAGGGATTTTCTGTGGGCGCAAAGGTAAACGGGATGCCAATTTGTGCGGCTAACATACTTTCATAAACGCTACACCCTACCTAAACCCCAAAAGTATGTAAGATAATAGCCCTAAACCCAAAATAATAACCATAAAGGCCATGATTTTACATACTTTTGGGGTTAAGGTAGACCCTAAAGCCAAGCAATCCCTCCGAGCAGCTTGTGTCCGTCTGTCAGGGCTTCTCTCTTCCCCTTCGTCTCCTGAAAGCTGGGCAAATTATGAAACCTTCCCCGACCTCAGCTCAAACGGCCGTTCAGGTAGTCAAGAATTCCAAATTCCTTTACTTTCAGGTTCTGATTTTGTGAGAAACTAGAGGGTCTACAGCCCAAGGGTAGGGACCCCTCAGCCCTAAACCTTGGGTACTGCCCCCGCTCTGTAACATTTGGAGACTATCTGTCATATAGTTATAGATAGCCCTTAGTATGACCCCTAATATGGACTGTCACAGGGTGGAGGCAGTACCCAAATTGTCCCTAAACCCTGAACCTTGAGCCCTCAACCCTATATAATTGTTGAAAATATTCAACCTAAACCTCAAAATTCGCGCCTGCCTCTGTGGGATTTTCGCCAAGCGATCGGGGAAAAGAGATGCTGCAAACAAAAATCTAATCCCTAAACCCTCAAATCCAAAACTCCTAAACCCCCTAACCTTAAACCCCTAAACCCCTCAACCTTAAACCCTAAGCCGTAACCACTGAAGCCCTAGGCCCTGAGCCCTAAATCCCTATAAGCCCTTAACCCCCAACTTCAGACCTCTGAAGCCAGAGGTCGATCCCCGTGTGGGTGGAGCGCAATGGGCAAGACGCGGCCATCAAGCGCCTGAAGGCCGCGAGGTTGTTTTTTGGTGTAAAAAAGGTAGGACAGCCAAAGTTATATAATATAGGGGATTAGAGTCTAGCGTTTAGGGTTCAGGGCTCAGGCTTTGAGGTTTAGGGTGTAAAAGGCAAGAAAACCCAAGTTCTGAACGTCGCAATACCTTATAGTACCTTATGTTTGACGTGATAGTATACATGTGTTTCAATCACGTTTGGGTTAAATATTATGGTTGGGGTTGAAGATAAAGCACACCTTTACACAGCGTAGCTGTGGTGTTCCCAGATTCTCGATGCAGTTTCCAGGGCTCGCAGACTGAAGGATCACCAGATCAAAGACATCTGGGACAGTTTCACAGGGTGTGCAGCCCTTCGGAACACTTGAGCGAAGCCTAAACCCTAAACTGTGCTGGGCGAGCCACACCTCCATATTTCGCCGCTAAACATACGATGGCAAACAATTGAGTCCCAAGCCCATCTATGCCTGAAGCCCTGCTTAGACCAAGATGCCTTGTTGGAAATATCTCTATCATGAGTGTAAACTTTAAATGAGCTTTCAGCCCCAGAGACACAGCAAGTATCCTTCAAATAGTCGAGATGATGCTATGCCCTAAACCTAAACCTCTAGACCCACAACCCGAAACCCAGGCGGAAGCCTTTTTGAGCTCGCAATGAGGAGTCAACGTGCGCCGCCCTTCAGAAAGCTGCAAGCACTTCTTTCAGTTTGCCTTATCGGCTGTATTGTGCAAGGAGGACGCTATGCGATAGCAGGATGCCTGGTGCCGCCTCCAGTCTTCAAAGAGCATGGAGTGTTGTATGCTGCGCCTTATGACTATGAGGTCCGAGTGAAGTTGGGATGTATAATGGGACGGTGCATCGGCGATGCGATAAAATCTGCTCAAGAAATCCAAGCTCTGGATGAAACTGCTGAGCTCCCGTCAATGTTCAATGCGATATCACCGGGTTGGTGGCTGAAGCAGCTCAATTCCCGAGGTGTCCGTGTAGAAAGATGTGCGTGGCAACATCTCGAGTTCGAGACTATCGATCCTGATTATGTTGTCCAGGAGGGTGACCGAGCCCGACTGATGATCCATGTCCATGAGCGCGCGGCTCCGGACGTAGAAATCCAGGCGGCTACTTTCCCAAAGCACCAGGGAAGTCATGCATAGACTTACCTAAACCCCAAGAGTATGTAAAATAATAGCCCTAAACCCAAAATAACAGCCATAAAGGCCATCATTTTACATACTTTTGGGGTTAAGGTACTGGCAACAGGATCACAAGGCAGATTTCCCACACCCCGAGGTCTTGCATGAGGATCGCAATTTCCTCGCCATCTCTAAGCCCCTCGAATGCGTTCGAAGATTTTTGCTTGTCCGCTGCCTATATACCCCATATCACCATATAGAATTGAGATAAGACTTTATATAACCCCTGTATAACCCTATATAAGCCCATATAACCCTATATAGCCCCTGAGGAACCCTGAAACACACCCAACATGAAGCCTGGGTGTCTGCGAACAATCATCAACTTTTTGTACCAGGCTCTTCAGAGTTCTGATTCCATGCTTGTGGAACCTTCATAGCTGTAGCCCAAGTAAGGCCTGCTGGCGTGGATGTTTTCGCCAACCCAAGCTACGGCAGTGTTCGTCTATCTGTGGTGGGCATGCTTGAGGCCATGGGATACTCCAACCTATATCCTGCGACTCGGAGAAGCCTAGAAAAATTCTAGAGCAGTTTTTAAAATGGGGACACTATGGTTGGACATAGGGTAGGATTCGACCCCCTTTTTGTGCATAGGATGCCATAGGAATGGCATGGCCATGTTTTGTTCGACGGTTTGAAAAGTCTCAAGCCACTTGTTCAATGCTTTGAAGCTAGAACCCAAGAACGCTCTCTCTGCTTTTCAATATGGTAGTTCCAATATAGGTGGCCCCAATATATAGACCTCAATATACGATCATCCTCGTTCTGGAGACCCCATAAAAAGGTACCACTCATTTTGGGAAACTCCCATAATGTAGGTTTGTCTTTTCAGTACAAGCTTCTAGACATGGCAGAAAGACTTTGGCCTTCAAAGGGGAATGTCTCCTACAGGCGCATCGAACCCTGAATTGTGGTTTCCCAAAATAGGGGGA